TCTAATCATGGAGTAAGGTGACAACAATATACTGAAATAATATTAAACAATGCAGGAACATTAATTGATTGAAATGAATTATTGAACATAACACTTGTACCACAATTCGAACTATTCTAGTGAATTTCAACCTCCACGTACTTAAGTTTGTACCATATCTTACATACCCGTAATTTATGACCGTTTATCAAACCTGGGTTTATGTGATGGAAAATATCTTTACCTTTATACTTTTTAAAAAAAATTTAATACAATATTTCATTGTTATAGGAATTATCATACATATTTATGAAATTTCACCCAAACATAACAAGCTTATAGATTATTATTCTAAAATCTAATGTCATGTCTATTGATCTAGTACTACAATTTTACAAATAAATACCTTACAATTTTACAATTTTAGTACTACATAGCGCCTCATTTTTACTTTTACATTATTCACATCAATCCTTGATACCTACATAAGTTTAAACATGGTCATGTGAACACTTATATGTTATAATCGTTTCGATACATAATTAATTTACGAATAACAGTTTTTTTATAATTAATAATCTTATATTAAAAGAGAAATTATTAATTGTTCACAATTCCGCATGATAAATATACCGACTAAAGTGTGACAGTTGAAAAACAAAAGTGAGAAAGTAATAAAGTAAAGTAAATACGTAATTGAGAGACTTTGCATAAAATATACGTTATGAAATAATTCATTTTCATATAAAATTATTAAATATTTGAGAGACTATTTTTATGTGTTATGGAGTATGAGTAGTTTATTATATTGATTGAAGAATGTTCTTCAATTCATAACAAAGAGATAAATCTTAGAAGTCATTGGAATCTAATAATCGATTGTGTTATTAGTTGACTTTGTCTATCGTTGAACCTGGGATTATTGGATTATAATTGGATGTCATTGTAATTTTGTAACAATTACTTAAAGTCATATGCCGTACATTAGCCTATTAGTAGCTGGCATCAAAATCTTGGTTCAATTTTCAAACTACTCGTACAGTCATACATAGATAAAATCTGATGCAAGAACAATAAGTTTAAATTATACCCTTAAATTACTCTTATTTAGAAGTCAACCCTTATTTTTGGCAAGCTTGTTGATTGGAAAAGAGTATACTACTTGTATATGGTATCGATGTTATTGTAGTAGGAAATAAGGAGAAGACACCCTAGCGAATTGAATTCTCACATAATTACATCTGATTTGAATTAGCGACATAAAGACATCTTTATTCTTAAAGTGTTTATAGTAGGATTTAGGGTATGTTCACATTTACTTAATTTCAGTTCAGTTCAGCTCCAATCATTTCAGTTTAGTTCAGTTCAGCTCCTAATTTTCCTCTCTCATAAAATATTCATTTCAGCTCAGTTCAGTTCAGCTTCAATCAATTCATTTCAGTTACAATCAGTTCAATTCAGTTCAGTTTAGTAAATGTGAATAGGCCCTTAAGCCTATATTAACAACAATACAATCTTACCATTACACTGATTTTGGTGTGTATCTTCATCGATATGATCCGTATGAGTATGAAAAATAAAAAGATAAAGAGTTAATTTATGAGAAACTGAACAAGAGATTTTAGGTTAACATATAAACAACTGAAAACCCGAATATGATCATAAGAATAGCGAATATAACTTTGTTGGGGCTTTGTTATATATTATTGAGAGTACGATCCGAGTAGCAAAGTAGGCAAGATGTTTAAGTGATAAGTTGCTATACCTAAATCTTGAACTTAGAAGAGTGGAGAAAGAGATGTGTGAATAATAGAGTAAGGGCTTGTTTTTTTCAGCTTATTTTCAGTTCACTTCAATTTCTAATTTCCTTCTCTCATAAAATATTCACTTCAGTTCAGTCTATACCTTAATCATTCTTGTATTATTGATGGTCTTTAATATGTGATGTACTTAGATTGTGACGAAAATCATGCAATAATCAACAAAAAATTATAAAAAGGACAATATATTATCAAATTCATCACCATTATCACATTGCAAAGACTTAACTTAGTCTTCCGCTTTAATTGACTTTTAACATAGCTTTCAAAGGTAAAGCTGGGAAAATGTAGCAAACATGCATGCGTAGAGTTGAACTAAAAATCGAGGATTATGAAAAGTGGAAAAAATCATCTAACAGTTTATACCATATATTAATATAATACTCCCCCCGTCCCTTAATACAAAGTCTTTTTTTCTAATATTTATTACGCATATAATAAAGAGAAAGATACTTTTAATTTAGGGACACAGGGAGTAATATTTATGACCCAATTTGCTTAAGATAAGAGATGTCCAAATAATATTTATCATAATTGAATGTAGAATTGTATAATTTTATCATCAAGAGAGTGTTCTCATAAATCATATACGAATTATCTATTGTCATACTTTAAATTTGTTTCTCAATAGTTACAGAAGAAATTGAGTAATCCATACACTTAAAACTGATTGGCAATTTATTGATTAATTAAATTATTTATGAAAATTTGTCAAAAAATAACCTTTTAAAAGCATAATTTTGCGAAAAAAAAACCCTTTTAAAAGTTTTTTGGTTAAAAAAAAGACCATCACATCCAATTTTTTTGCGAGAGGAAACCTATTTCCTTAATTATCATCTAATTAACTTAATTAGACTCTAATTTCCTCCCATTTCTTCTAACACTACTAGAAAATAGCTTAATTCCGACGGACTGCTTCCGACGGACCCAATATTCCGTCGGAAAAAGGGAAATTTACGACGGATTTTTTTTTTCGTCGGAAATTTCCGACAAATTCATCGATTCCGTCGAAAATCCGTCGGAAATTTCCGACGGAATAAATATCCGTCGTAATTTTTGTATGTTCCGTCAGAATTTTCCGTCGGAAATTACCTTTTCCGACGGATTTATAGTCCGTCGTAAGTTTCCGACGGAATATTCCGTCGGAACATAATTTATTTTTTTTTTTAAAAAAAACCATTTCCGCTACAAAACCCTAAACAAACTTCAGAAGCGCCTCTTTTCTCTTCTCCTCTCCACTCTCTCTCTTCTCTATGCCTCTGCTTCTCTCTCCTCTCGTTCTCCTCTCTGCTTCTCCCTCTTATCTTCTTCTCTCTCCTCTCGTTCTCCTTTCCTCTGTTTCTCTCTGTTCTCTCTCCTCTCGTTCTCCCTCCTCTCGTTCTCCTTTCGACCACCACACCACGGCATCAACAACAACACAACCACCGTCATCAAACACCACGGCATCAACAACAACACAACCACCGTCATCAAACACCACCGTCATCAACGACCAACACACAAACGGCATCAACCAACTACTTGAAAGGTTTTTTAGGCCAAATTCGGCCATAAAAAGTTTAGATCTACACTTTTCATGGCCGAATTTGGCCTTGTTAAACCGTTTTCGTGTTGAAATTCGAAGCATATTTCAATTTCAGGTATGTTTTATGTTTTAATTTTTCGATTTTTGTTTCCGTTTATTTTTTTTTTAAATATGGATTTCGGTGGTGGTGGTGGGTGTGGCTGATGTGCGTGCGTTTAGCATTTGCAGTGGTTTGTGGTGGCTGTCAGATCTGGGCTTAGGTGGGGTCGGGTTCGGTCGGGTCCGGGTTAGGGTTTGGGTGTTTAGGTGGGTGGATCTGGGTATGGGTGAGGATGGGGTATGGGTGTTTTGGTTAGAGTTCGGTCAGGGTGAGGGTAAAGTGGTGGTGGTGCTGTGGATAGGTTAGGGTGGTTGTGGTGGTGGTGCTGTGGATCTGGGTACGGGTGGGGGTGGTGTTGTGTATAGGTTAGGGTTAGGAAGTGGGTGTGGTTGGGGTTGACAGGGGTGTTTTGGGTGGTTGGAGGTTGTCGGTGGGTGGTTGATCTAGTGGTTATCGGTGGTAGATGTGGTGGTTGTGGGTGGTTGGGGTGGTTATGGATGACGGTGGTGGTCTGCTAGGGCTAGGTTGTAGGTGGATAGTGGGGTGGTGGATCTGGTGTAGGTGGTTGGTGGGTAAGGTTCTGGTGTGGTTGGCTGGTTGTGTGAGGTGGTGTAGGGTGACGACTTGCGGTGGTACAGCGTGGCGGTGGCCTTTTTTTTTGTTTTTTTTTAAAGCATTTTCCGACGGAAATTCCGTCGAGAATTTACGACGGAATTCAATTCAGTCGAAATTTTCCGAGGGGCTTTGCCCGGGCTTGAAAATACTCTCGGCGAACTGAAATCCGTCGGAAATTCCGTCGAAAAAGGGTGTTTTTCCGACAACAACTTTTCCGACAACCGGTTACGACGGAATTCCGTCGTAAATGGGTTTTCCGACGGAAAACAAGGTGTTTCCGACGAAAATTTTCCGTCGCAATTAACATGTTTTCTAGTAGTGTAATTAACCTCTAACCCACCTATTTACCTAATAATTAGATTAAGTTTATACATAAAAAAACCACCACCCCAATGACTAACCAACCACCCTTTCCCCCCTCCTTTGGAAGCAACCCTTCAGGCCCTCACCCACCGGACCCTCCGCTCAGATCCCCCCAAATATCTGGAGACCTACCTCCACCATCAGTGAACTGTCCCTTTTCCCCTCCCTTGGAATTTTTGGACCTTATTTACTCAAAATGCTCAAATCAAGTCCAAATCTATCAATTGCAACACTAGTAGAAAAATACAAAAAGGCAACCCCCAAATGGCACCGGTTCAGGTCAAATCGGTGCCAAAAATCGGCCTAAAAATGGGCGGGTTTTTAGACAAAGAGAAATGGCACCGGTTCATATCAAACCGGTGCCAAAAATACAAATGGCACCGGTTCGAACCGGTTCCATAAGATGTTAAAAAAAACGGTTCAATTCACATAATAAACCCTAAAAAAAGTTCTCAGCCTCTTTTTATTTCATTCCATCTGATCTCCTTCTCTCTCCTCTCTCCCTTCTCCTCCTCTCCCTTCTCTCTCCTCTCATCTCCCTTATTGATCTTCATCTCCCATGCATATTCGATCTAGCTCCTCTCTCTAAACCGATCTTCTTTCATCTCCTCTCCCTAGCTTCTTCGATCTCCTCTCTTTCTTTGATCTACACCACCACAAATTCGACCACCGCCACAAAGCCCACCACCACAACATCACCACTGCCGCAAAGCCCCTGCCACCACCACAAAGGTCGACGGCCGCCGCAAATCCCACCGACAATTTCTGGGTATAATTTATACGAGGTTAGGATTTAATTTGATTTTAATCGATTTTGTTGGATTTAATTTAGGGTTTAAAGCAATCAATTTTGGATTTTAATCAATTTTTCTGGGTTTATTTAATCGATTTTTGGATTTTAATTTGATTTTTGTGGGTATAATTATCCGAATTTAATGGGTTTTGTATTTTAATTCGATTTGTTCTCGTTTTTTCTGGGTTTAATTTTGGGTTGATTAATCAATTTAAATTACATGCATGTGTTTTTTTTGGTGTTTTTTTAATTACATGCATGTGTTTTTTTTTAGTATAATTTATACAAGGTTATGGTTTAATTTATAAGTTTAATTCGATTTTAATCGATTATGTTGGATCAAATTTAGGGTTTAAGTAATCGTTTTGGATTTTAATTGATTTTTTTGGGTTTATTTAATCAATTTTTGGATTTTAATTCGATTTTTGTGGGTATAATTATCCGAATTTAATGGGTTTTGTATTTTAATTCGATTTGTTCTCGTTTTTCTGGGTTTAATTTTGGGTTGATTAATAAATTTTAATTACATGCATGTGTTTTTTGGGTATTTTTTTTAATTACATGTATGTGTGTTTTTTTTTATTTTGAGTTTCTGGGTTGTTTTTTTTTTTCGGGGATTTTGTATTTTTTTTCAATTTTATTTTTTATAATTTTGTGTTTCTGGGTATAATTATCTGAATATAATCGTTTTTGTTTTTTTTTTTCAATTTTCAGTTCGTGAGTTATCTTCGTCGAAAATTGATGGCCGATACTTTGCTTCTGCAATTCAGCTATTGAGCTCGTTCGTCGAATCCATTTGGTTTTTTTTTGGGCAAGTGTAAAACTACTGATTATAAATTTCAATTATATTATGTATTAATGTATTATGTAACATTTTGGTGATTATGAATTTCAATTATATTTGGTGTGTTATTACTGATTATGAATTAATGTTATAATTGGTGTTGTATTAGTTTTCTGCCAATTTTCAAGTGAACAAAGAACAAAGAACAAAAACAAAAAAAAAATAAAATAATAATAATAATAATAATAATTTTGGGCAGTTTTGGCACCGGTTAACCGGTGCCAAAACCAATGAAATAAATATTTTGGTTCATTTTTGGCACCGGTTAACCGGTGCCTAATTGAATATATGGCACCGGTTTTGAACCGGTGCTAAAAAGGGGGTATTTGGCACCCCCCACATAGGCAGCGGTTCAAACCGGTGCCTTAGACCGGGTTTGAACCGCTGCCAAATCACTTTTTTCACCTAGTGCAATTTGCTTTTAAATCACCCTAGCATCACATATATATACATAATCAAAGCCAAAACATGCATCAATTGCAACTTGCAAGCAAGATGCACAAAAAAAAAAAAAAAAAAAAAAAAACCCAAATCGGTATTCTAGGGTTTTTCAAAATCAAGGAGGTGGTTGTTAGGCGGTGATTAGGGGGAAAGGGAGGGTCATCTGGTGGTGGAGGAGGTTGCCGAAGGTGGGGGATCCGGAGGGGGGGGGGGGTTGATTCCATGGGAGGAGCAAGGAGAGGGGGAAAAGTTGAAGGAAGGAGAGGTGGTGGTGGTTTTTTTTTTTTTTTTTTAATATATGTTAATTAAATCCAATTATTTAATAATTTGGTGGGTTAGAGGTTAATTAGAAGAAATTAGAGTTTATTTTAGATAATTAGAGGGTAAATAGGGAAATAGGTTTCCTTTCGCAAAAAAAATGAACGTGGTGGGGTTTTTTTAACCACAAAGCTTTTAAAAGGTTTTATTTTGGCAAAATGGTGCTTTAATTAAAGGTTTTTTTTTTGACAAATTTTTCTTTAAGTTAATTGGAGGGTAATTAGGGAAATAGATTTCCTCTCGCAAAAAAAAAAATGAGCGTGGTGGTTTTTTTTTAACCAAAAAGCTTTTAAAAGGGTTTTTTTTTTCCGCAAAATGGTGCTTTTAAAAGGTTTTTTTGAACAAAATTTTCAATTATTTATTGAAGAAATTTATTTTGGTAAACTTAATTTTAATACAACAATTTAATTATTTTTACCGAATATTATTGATATCTCATAGCTTGCCTAGTGCTGAGAAGAACATTGTGATTCTACTTGGTAAATTTAAGGCTTTAAGCCCTTGAGTTCATAGGAATGTTATTAAAGTTTGAATTATATATATATATATATATTTTGTTTTTTTTTTGTTTATTTTTTGAAAGAGAATTATAGGGTATTCTAATGATGGTTGAATGCATGTTTTATACACCTTACATATCTAAATGTAATAAGATTTTTAATCCATGGTTATTAAATATTATCATGTAATATAATATAATGACATATTAGTTAAGATTCCAAATTAAATCAAAGTACTTGAAATGGTTTGCTAATAAAGCATAATATGAAATTTAGGATTAATAAAATAAGAGAAGCCATCCGCATGCAAATTTTCGTGCGTCTGACTTGGTTAATATGTTTTACTTATTGGCTTAATGGTTTGGAAAAATGGAAACTAAAAATCCAATCTTTGCGATGTCTGATAAAAAAAATCCAACCTTTAATTAATCTCACAAAAATCCAACCTTTGCACCCCACCTTCTCCTACACATCCATTTTGACCTTTAACCTATTAAACAAGTAATTTTTTTTTATTTTTTTTTAATTCTCTTAATTTCCCTTCTCACTCCTCCTCTTTCTCTCTCCTCTCTCCAACAGCCCACCAAGGCACCACCGCCACCCCAACACAACCCACCAAAAACCCGACCACCCCAGCCAACCTAAAACCCGATAACCCTAGCCAACCCCTGACCACAAAACCCAACCCTAACACCAACCACCCTAAACGGCTAAACCCCAACCACCCTAAAACCCGACCACCATAAAACCCTGACCACCCCAGCCAACCCCGGACCACAAAACCCAACCCTAACACCAACCACCCTAGAACCCGACCACCATAAAACCCCGACCACCCCAGCCAACCCCGGACCACAAAACCAAACCCTAACACCAACCACCCTAAACGGCTAAACCCCAACAACCCTAGAACCTGACCACCATAAAACCACGACCACCCCAGCCAACCCCAGACCACAAAACCCAACCCTAACACCAACCACCCTAAACGGCTAAACCCCAACCACCCTAGAACCCCAACCACCCCAGCCACCCACGAAACTCGACCCACAAAATCGGCCCTAACACCAACCACCCTAAAAACCCGACCACCCCAAGGGACGGGGAGTGGCCGGGAAGGGGCGAGGGTTGTCGAATTTGGGTGGAAGGGGGCTAATTTAGGTCGGGTTTAGGGTGGGGAGGGGTGGAAACGGGTTGGGGAGGGTCAAGGGTTGTCGGTTTGTGGTCGGCGAGCAGTGGGGAGCTTCGGGGAGGGGTCGGGTTGGTTTGGGAGGGTTGAATAGGGTGTTTGGTGTGGTGGTTAGGGTTTAGATTCGTAGGAGGTTTTGGTGATTGGGGAGGTTGCGGCAAGGGGTGGGGGGGATCGCTGAAAGCCGACGACCCCGATGGTGGGGCTGGTTGGGGGTGGGGAGATTGTTGCCGGGGAGTGGGGGAGGTGGCTGAAGTGGTGCGGGGGCTAGGGGAGGTGGCTGGTGGTGGGGTTTTTTTTTTTCTGTTGTATTTTTTTCTTTTAATTTTTTTTAATGATTAAAAAATAATTGACCAATTAATAACTAACACGTGGCACATAACTTACAAAAATCCGTCATCTACAGATAATGGATCTGTGAGAAAAAGGTGGTGTATAAAGGTTGGATTTTTGTGAGATTAATTAAAGGTTAGATTTTTTTTGTCAGACCGAGCAAAGGTTGGATTTTTAGTTTCCATTTTTCTAATATTTTATGTGTTAGCTAAAATGTTTTATTTGTTGGCTGATATGATATTTGTGTTGGCTGATATATATATATATATATATATATATATATATATATATATATATATATATATAATAGGTTCCTTTTGTTGGGTGATATCAGACATCATTTGGCTAATATATTTGTTTAGTTGGCTGATATATTAATTTTGTTGGCTGATATGTATGTTTTAATTGTTGGCTTATATGTTTTACCTTACTGCCTGATATGCTTATTTTGTTGGCTTACCTGTTGCTTTTATTTGTCGATTTCATCCTTTTGTTGGCTGATACACTCCATTAATTTGTTGGCTGATATTAAACATGGGCACTAGACGTGCCGGCACGCGGGTGGCACGACCCCGACACGATTCCGGCACGGCGGCCCACCTGTGGGCCGTGGGCCGTCCCGTGAACAAAAATTAGGGAATTGGCACGGTTACGGCACGAGGCACGGTAGGCAGCACGTACGATGGGTCTGCACGCCGGCACGGCCTAACACGACACTCAGCTCGTAATTTTTTTTTATTATATGTATTGTTGTTTTTTGCTAAATTAATAAAATTATTTACATAAACTTAAACATAATTAGATGAATAATTTATATAACCTATTATCCTTAATTAAAATAAAGTTGTTCAAAACAAAATATATTAACATAAACATAAATTAATAACATTATTTATATAAAATTAAGTTGTATATATATATATATATATATGTGTGTGTGTGTGTGTGTGTGTGTGTGTGTGTGTGTGTGTGTGTGTGTGTGTGTGTATATGTATATGTGTATATATATATATATATGTATATGTGTATATATATATATGTATATGTGTATATATATATATATGTATATGTATATATATATATATGTATATGTGTATATATATATATGTATATGTGTATATATATATATGTATATGTATATGTATATGTATATGTGGCATGGTACGGCCCGCCAGGCACG